CATTCAAAATTCAATCCAAAGAAGCCTTATAAGAATAAGAAATTGAAATCCTTTATTCAACAAAAAGTCTAATTAAATCGGAAAATTAGGGATTGAACTTTTCACCAGAAACATTAGAAGCAAACCAGTGGCCAAAGATGCGGCGAATCCGTACATTCTCTGCGAAATCGAACAAGATTGACTAAACAGAGAAACCCTAGACATGGAGAGAAGAAGAAGACGGAGACAAAACCTGGGTGGGGGAGAGAGAACAGAGACCTTCCGATCCATCTTCAAGGAAGTTATCGGTTCTATCGTCGCCGTCGCCGTCGCCGGAGAAGAACTCGCTCAGTTTCTGCATATCGATACTGATTGTTTGTTCCGTCGAATCAAACCAAAGTAGAAAAGTTGCCCTTCTTGCTGGCGTTTAACGAAAATCCAATAATCACAACTCTTGCCCACGTTAAAGCTCATAACCAATTATTCTCTCATCTTTTTTCTCTTAAAATTTAGGGATACTTAAGAAAATATCATTACGACCAAAAAATATTAAAATAATAAAGTAATTGAATTTGGGCTTACTAATTAACAAGTTTGTGGATTTTTTCAGTCTCGTTATTCAGCTAAAAGCCTATGACAATGATTCATACTTGATTTAGCGTAAAAAAATGATTAAGTGAGAGTTATCGAAAAACAATTGACTTCAAATCATTGTGCATGATTTGAAAGCAGTGAATTTACCAAATCCTATAAAGATTTTTAAATCAATTTGAATCTATAAACCAATAACACATTTTATTTCTGTTTAATTTTCTTCTTTCTTACCGAGAATCTAGTCAAAACTCATACGTAACTTTTAAAGCTTATAATTAGATATGGGGTGCTTGGCAAGTGTTTTTCAAGTATTTAATTTAGATTTTTGCTTTAGATTTTTGGCTACATACTACAGAGATTTTGCACGTAAATGTTGTGACTGTTATTTTAAATATTAATAAAAATCTGATTGGTAATAGAAATGGTAGAACCTGTGACTGTTATTTTAATAATTAAAGATAATTTTTTATCAAACATATAAATTATGACATAATTATGCATAACATAAATAACAACTATTTTAAACCAAAACTCATACTCTAGCAATTTTAATGATTCTTTACCAAAAAAAAAGATTTTATATTGATTTTGAAATTTTTTGATATTTTATGGATTTACATAAAATTGGGTCTCAAAAAAATAGAAAAAAGATAAAAATTAATCGATCAAAATTTTTTACTAATAAATTATATATAATTCTAAAAAGAACTTTGAATAATTTTGGGGAATGAAAAAAGAAGAAATAATTTAAATATAATTATTTTTTTATTTTAAAGCCACTATAACG